AAACGTCAGCCTTCCTGCTCCTCTGATGCTGCTCGGCCTGCTGTGTTCATCCAGCTCTACACCTTGTTATCTCAGATTCTCCAGGATCTGCAGTTCCTACTATCTCTTGGTGTAATGTGGACCTGGGCAGTACAGATTTGGATGCTGTAATGTGGGAAAAGCTAAATGACGGTTTGCAAGGAGTCCACAGATACACTATCCTGACACCAATGGCAAATACCATCAGGCAAGCTGATATGAGTAGCCATCTTATGATGAAGACAGTAAATCAGTCTCCGTATTGAAGAGCTTCATTTTTACTCCAATAATGCTGTACTATTGAAATTCACTTCAGAGAAAAACACTTAGCAAGTAATTTGTGTTATATTAATGGATTATTGTCTAATTGGGTTGGTTTGCCATTATCTAGTCACTGTTTGAATAGAGATCTTAGTAACCATTTGAATAGAGATCTTAGTAACCATTTGTAAGAAAGCACATATTTTTTCCTTTATGGATTATAACTTGAACTTTAAATTCGATAGCAATATAAATTAAAAACCAGAAAAGCCTAGCAACTTGGAAATTAAATGCTGCATATTGCTGAGTGATGTGATACAATGTTGTCTTTTGAAGCATCAAGAGGGGGAATTCAAAAATGAATGGCGTTGAAATCCTGCTTGACAACAGTGCTCTGATTGACTGAGCTGCTGAATGCGAAAAAAATCATCAGGGCAGCAAAGAGAAACATTCAGAGCTTGCAAACTGAAATGATCCATCTCTCTCCCTTCCTCACTCAGTGCAGAAAAAAGACAGGAAAAAAAAGTAAGTTTAACAGAAAGAAATCTAAAACAAAACCTAGGTCATTCTGGTTGGCCATCAAATTGAAGAACAACCATCACCATACAGACCATGGTGCGTTATCAGTGCTAGAAGTAGCACAAAAGACAATTTAACCCCTAACCCCAGTTGAAATCTGGATTTTTGGTCTTGGGATTTTTGGTTACCTCATCTATATTCTTTATCTGTGTAAAACTGTTTGTAGTTTGTCTGTCTTAATTGTGATTGAGACTGTGTCTACTTGGGATTTTAAAGGTGTATCATTTAAGTGTGTATTAGTGGATTAGTTAAACTTGGATGTCACAAAAAAAGTTATTTTATTGATAATAATGAAACCCTGCGTGAACTGCTTTTGTCCTGAGCAATAGCCAGTCGGGCAAATTGTCATTTTGTTGGTCTCATTGGAATTTTATACATTTTATGGCGGCTTGTGGAACAGTGAGGCACAATTATTGGTGCATTTTTCCTGGTTTAGATGGTGACATGTTTAAAAACACATCATATGAAGGCTTCATTTCAAATATGGACAAAAGGATTATTGTGCAATTATGGTACATATTTAGACAACAAATCACCAGAAATAGTA